GTATGTAAGGGCTTAGTTGGGACAGAGTAGAGATCGTAATGGAACGCCTAGAGTTACTACTATTCATCCTGCGCACTATTAGGGAGGAGACTCCTAACTTCCCTACAAAAGAAGATCTAGAGGATTGGAAGTTCTTCCAAAAAAAGTCCCTCTCCCTTCCGCCTATGGATCTTCGGCACGGCACCCTCCCTCGACCGCTTGACGGATTTCACCATCTCTGAATGGTGTCCGCTGTTCCCCTCACTGTAGCTGCCTATAATGGTAGTTGCGGAATGCCGATCGCAAACCATACAAACTACCGCCTCCTTAGCAGAAATGCTGTGAAGCATGCGATAGTGCCGGGGGTACCGCGAAGGCACAGCATCTACCGGCACTTGACTATGAAGTGCCACTACAGGCTGAAGATTTTTCGCTTAAGAATAGCGGCTCCCTGGTGCTGGCTATGGAGCAAGTTTGGCTATCAATAATCTTACCATAGACTGTGGCAAACAACAGAACTTAGAGTAGAGTCCGCCACTATGGATCCGAGACGTCCCCGAGGAAGACTTCCAACAAGATGGGCAGTCGTGTTCGTGGAACGGATGGAACGACTGAGATATCAGCCGGATACCATTTTCGCACCTGGAACTCGAGGCCGCAGTTGCAACCAAGAAGTTCTCGGATACCTGAAGACAAGGGACAAGGGCATTGGAAACTTCTGTGCTGAGGACCGCACGCCACGTAGAGACGGGTCATCTCAATTTCGTATTCTAGGAAGTATATGAGATATCAAAACCATGGACCTACCTGAAACTTTGTGCAGGCGGTTACCCGATGTGGTAATCACAAATATCGTGCTCGTTTCGGATGATAAAGTTTTTTTGAATTTTTTGGTATTTAAATTGGTCCAGAAAAGCGAAAAATAGTTTTTTATACGCTGCAAATCACCATAGCTCCACAGTAAGGCTTGTGGCAGCACTCAAGCATGATGGTCATAATCAGCATGCTTGGAAATCCCTCTAAGCAAAGTTCCGAACAGATTTAAGACTACCTTCTCTGTCTACCGCGTGCCCTTTTTGAACCTGAAAATGGGCTATCCGTAAAACAAAAATGTGATAGGATGTTCAGCGCGCCAAATGCTCCTTAGGCAATTGCAGCAAATGTGTGATTTCAACCGGTACCGTGCAGCTATCGTAACTTCATAAAAAGGCCTCAGAATGCAAAACATTTGATACCCAGCCATATCGATTTTGGTCTCCTATTTACCACCGTAGCCATATCGAATGGCGTGACTGTGCAAAAAAAAATTCGATATCCGTGATCAGCATGTTGAATAACTCATGTCCCGAGTATTAGCAAAATCCACAATTTTGAAATTTTGGATCTTGGATACTGGAATGGCGCCGGAGAGTTCTTTATCGGTGTAGTTCCACTCGTCAGTATTGCTGGTGCCATAATAAATGCTTTTATGGGATTTTTCCTGATTCAATTGTTTTTGTTCGAGATGCTCATTCAATTTTGAAATACTCAGGCTACTATAGTGAATCAGAAAGGTTTGAAAAAAAAATTATTTTGGCTTGTTTTGTGTTGTGCTGATTTTCGTTTTTTTTTCGCGGACATGATACTCACCTCCCCTCATCAAGGTGGTGCAGCCGAAGATTTCCCTCGCTCTAAAGTACACTGCGTTCATAAATCTTTCGGAGGCTTGTCAGAAAGTTCGAAGCGCAAAGATAGTGCCACAAGTGAAAGAACAATGTTGAAACTACTTACTACACGTTTGAAATATAAACAAATCAAGGAAAAAATGTAGTTTCTATCAGAAAAAAAAATAATTGAACTATCAAAAAAACCTACATTAGAGTGATGACATAATAGAAGAAATGTGTTTGTTCCCATTCATCGACAAGGCTTCATAAGTTTTTTTAGAAGTCTGGAAGGTCACCGTCTTCAGAAGATGATCCGTGCTGCCCCTCAGCATATCGCTAATTTGCGGTTTTATTGGAAAGCTTACGCAAGATCACTGCAGAATGACTGGTTGGCTTATTGTTGCGATATCAGATTTGGACCGCTGTGTGAATAAATCGAGAGAAACAAAACAGAGGTGCACAACAGCTACCAAAGCCACTCTTTTGTTATTTTACTTATATGCACTTTTCTCTCCACTCATTTGCTGTTTTGAAAATGTTATGAATGATAGCTCATTTGACAGTAGTTGGATGTGCAGTTACAAGCTTGGAGGCCGTGGCTCAGGAAAGTTTCGATCTGAGAGATTCTCGCTTGCTGGAATTATACGATGCTCTAATCCTGAAAATCCACCTCAGAAAGGGCGAACTCGCCTGAGCGCGCATATAGTAGGTATGTATATACATATGTACTTTCCCGCTACCCGGAAGTATTTTTTCCAAATAGGATATGCTTCCTTCCTTGTACCAAATGTGGCATAAACTTTACAAAATGGAGAGTCAACCCCCTTCCGCGTGTCAAAAAACATGTCATCTACTTAATTAACAGCTTTCATTGAGGGTTTGCTTAGCCTATGTATTGATATAAGTTCAATCTTTTTTCAATCAATGATGGATCCGCTTGAATTCAAAGGTTGCAAAACGGAGCCTAAACTTTCTAAAAATAACGTTTGTGTTCGACGAACCATTAGACTAGGTCCAAAGCAGATGAACGCGCCAATGTTCCATCATCTAAACGACGAAATAAGCGACAGCCAGCACTTTAAGCCATCATTTATAAACTTTCCTATCTGAATTTGCATGACGGAGAAAATTTGACGAGGGAGATGTTTTCAAATCAATCCTTAAAGAGACCAAAATATTTTGATAAAAGTCTTGGATTGTTTTGCTTTTATAAAAAATCGCTGAAAGCTTTTGTGTTATTTAAGAAGCTCTCAGTCTCACTGGAAGTCTCACTGGATCTCGAAAAAAGCATGCCAAAATGGGTCTAAAACAAGCCGATTTTTAATTTGACACGTGGCAGGAGGGCAGTCCACATAGGATCTAGGAAAACAATGTATTAGGCTAAAGTACATAATTCAAGAACAATTTGAAAAAAAGTGGACCCGGATAACGGAAAAAACATAAAACTCATAAAACTGACATGGTCCCACTTGGAGGGCAATTTTCTTAGCAGCTGTGGGCATGCTGGCGACGCACTTGATCGGATTTTATTTGGGGTAAGCAACTAGCCACATTGGTCAAAAGGTTCAGTTTTGTCAAGCCACTGCTTTTATTGAACCTTTTACCTTCGTACCACAATGGTTGAATGTTCAAAGCTTGAAATGTAGACGAATAGGTAAGTGACCTAATGCTTTGTTTTCGAATATGCAATCAGCAGCAAAACTCAGATCTAGCAAATACTGGGTTACCGAATTTTGCAGTCAGAGAACAGGTGGGCTTGGCAATAGAAGAATGGATATTACTACTTCCCATAGAATTGATTTAAAGTGAAATCCCTCATGTTTTCGAAAAAAATTAGAACGAGTACATAAATGCTCTTGATATTCTAAAAATCCCAGATTTTTAGCTCTCGTTATATGCTTTCGCTGCAGTCTAAGTATTCATGTGTTCTTGTGGTGCTTCCTGCGTTCTGATCTGCCATTCCGTATCGTAATCAGCACTACAATGGCTTGCAAATGCTGGTGTTGGCGAATGTCGGAGCAAAAACTACAGGGAGATATCTAGAAATAAGATATTTTGAGCGAGTCGAGCTTGTGTTTTCATACTAACTACCGTCAGACCTGTTTTTCTTTTGATCTTACTATTTTTTGATCTTTCTTGCTATTTTTGTCTTTGCGTTCCCAGTTCAATTATAGCTGCATCTAGACTTCATCGAATAGGAAAAAATGGACAATGAAAAATAAGAGTAAATTAATATCCAACCAGTAAGAACGGAAAAGCCTTGCTACTCTCTTGGCAAACATAAGTTGAGCGTCGCAGTGGCAAAGATTTCAGAGTCATGTTGATGCTGGCTTACGAAAGCAGCACTGCTATAAAAGCACCCTGGAGTTTTGCGAGAAACCTAAGTATGAACAGCATGAATGAATGAATGCGTGTTAGTCATAAATAATTTCTTCTGTATTACGTGAGTTTAAAGCCACCAATGAATAGATGCAATACACTTCATACTATATATATGGTATGTGTAGTATGTGATGTGATATTTGATAGTGAAGTACGGCCGCGCTTGACATCCGCATGCCAATGATGAAAGAATTGAGATCTCCCTGCAGGTAATTCAAGTTTTATTTGCAACATGCGTGACCTAGAGGGTGGCCAAGATGGAAACTTCTGGTGAGGTATGACAAAAAAACTGAAATCTATTTCCTGTTTAGGTTTTTGAGAAAGACGATTGGTCAAATCTAATTCAAGCCACTATCTAATGAACTAACATAATAACGACACTAATAACAATGAGATTAAGAAACTGTAAAATACATGCGTAGATTAGGATGTGAGAAAGTTCTTTATATTAATTTGTGATTGTCAACACTTTCATGGCGTCTCCATTTTAAACGATTGAAGGCAGTGCGTTAGCAAAAATGAACAACACGCGATCTGGATGCGGTAGATTGCTTACACCCCAACTATGAAAACAGAGCAATCCTGGTCGCACAGTTTGTCGTCCCTGACGAGAAAATTGCCCTGAAACCCATGCACGCAAGCCTTTCTTACACGCGCTCGGACGAGCTCGCAATTCTCCTCTCACCGTTGGGAACGGCATCACACAGTATAATAACTGAAAGAGTTTCGCACCGACTCTAGCTCATTAACTTTGGCGAAAAGTACCACTCGTCCACATTCAAAGGGCTCAGAAAAAGCCGTTTTCGTTATTTTCAAGCTCTCTAAGGTGGTTCGGCATCAGCGCCTCGGATAACCCCAGGTAAGCAAGACTTTTCTTGAAGCTGAGATTTGCCGAGCTACTGCCTTCAGTTTCTACTCAACTTACACCATATACATCACAGAACGCAGCCAAATTCATTACATAGGAAACATACATGTAAGAAATTACTTTATGCTTTCTAAAGTCAATCACAAGCACAGGGACAAAAATACAATTTTATAGCACCTATGAAGGCTATAACTTATACAGCTGCACTTTCATTGAGCTAAGATTATGTCATCAATAACACATATGCAACAGATTCATTGATAAAAGTATGTACAGAACTTCTGAATAAAACTACATGCTGGGTCACTATAAATGCAGTTTTTCCTAGAGAAAAAGATTTGATGACAAATCGGCACCCATACTTGTCAAACTGAAAAAGAAGCAAGAAGGTAAAAGAAAGGCAGGACATAAATGCAAATGTGCAGGGCATTCCTTGCGAGTGTTTAGGCATAACTCAGAAATCTTCTAAAATGCTACATACGACGTTGGAAATCTGCCAGTCTTGTAATCCCCTCCATTCTCTGTTATCACATGACCGATCAGCCAATCGTCACCTATCCGATCTTCGACTACTACGCACTCTCCGGCATGCACCTGAATATTTTCGCAATGCTTAGAAGGATACAAAAATCAGTTCAAAGGGAGTGACAAGTACCAACAATGGGCGTGGAAACGGGAGTGTCAGCCAATAGGAAGGAGGCTCCGTTTTTTGTTACCCTTATAGATTTCTTTTCAAACCATCGTTTTTACGAATTTGATTCTCAAAGTAGCAACTTTGGAGGGGGGGGGGGGTAACGAAGTTCTTGGAAGTAGCCTATGTACTATTGTGCCATGCCTTCTTTTTACATGTGAATGATTGGAATATTCCTGAAATTTTTTGAAGATACAGATTAACTTTATGAAAAAATGTTTCTCGGGGAAGTGGCTGCCACTACGCTCGCTAATAAAAATCTTTAGGTTACTGGAGAGCAAGAATCTACGCATGGCAAAATTTTTTCGGAACGTGTGGCTAACACCTGTGCATTTGAAAATTTTCATCCTCTCCGCACCCCGAAGAAGTATCGTGGGCCGCCATTGGACAAACATGGCTTCAAACAAGCTGCAGCCCAGGTCTTTACGTTAAAAGCAAACTTTATTTGTGCGCGGTGATGCGATTAATAGACTTGGAAAGAGCACGGTAGTGGGCGACAATCAGCTGCTGACTTTTAACCAGTTTCCAAAAAACAATCTCCTTCATCCAGATATAAACACTGCCTCTGCAGGCATCGTCGACAAATTTCTAACATTAACGTTAACATTCTTAACATTTTTCGCCTCACGTGGGCTCTTTTGAGGCCTCTCAGAATTGGCAGGTAAAAAGCGTAAATTTATCAAATCCTTTCCTTGAAGCCATTTTTCCAAAAGAAGTGATTTGCACTCAAATTTTCTCCATTTGAAAGCAGTGTTTGAAGGGAGCATTTGCGCAGTGATTGATTTGTTATCGATTATGAACCAAGGAAGTAAAGTAATTCTCGGATGTCTTTACCTGAATTTCATCATCGTGTTTCGGTTCGAAATCGTACAGTACCCGGCAGAGTGTTGTATTTGTGGCCGGTTCGTCGATTACGGTAGTCTGTCGAGAGGACGAGTTATAGAAGCCCTCGTCAGAGATCTGGTAGAAAATATTCTTGCCTGTGACGTCACCAGCTAATCGAGAATCATCGATAAGAGGACGTCCTCGGAGTTGATTTACCTTGTCATACTCTTCATACTCATCCGATGTTCGTGGTGATGTTTTCGGTGGGGCATAGATCGTACCAGAGCAAACCGATGGTGGTGGTAAGGATTGATCTTCACCAGCTAAGGGTATCGTTAGGACTGTGGTTGGTAAACCCTTAAAGTAATTTTTGGGCAAACTCGTGAATTTAACCAGTTATTCCCAATTCAACTTTAGCTCATTGTGTGCGCCTGCACAATATGCGCAGCATCCTACGACTACTTTACTATTGATTCCTCAGTAAATTCTATTCTAGGGTAACAAAGTTGTGCACCACTAATTGACACATATCCAAATCAAAAGAGACAAAAAAACAAGGAAAAATTATCAAAGTGAACAGGTTCTAGTCTTGCAAGTCGTCAAGTTGCGTGCATAGTGTGCAACACGCATATTCAAATAAAAATGACTCGACGATACATAATTCTTACTGCTTTATCTTTGGTTTTATGCTGAAATCGCACTAATCGGTGATAGCCGCGGTGTTGACCGCCATCCAAAGAATTGATCGCATCATTCACTTTGTAGTAGAGGTATTCGATGAATTCCACCAAAGTCTAAAATGCCTCGATTGCACAAAAATATAAATCTGTGAAGTAACCTACAATTTGCCTAGTGTTACAGATTTGAGTGTCTGCTCGACCTTGCGAGTACAGTCGTTGCAGCTCATTGTCCAGTATGTTCGAGACTCGGACCAACGCAGCCCGCCGTCGCGAGCCACACATTATTTCACCGAAGTTTTCTGCCTATAAACAGATGGTTGCATGCGGATAATGGTTATTACTTACTATTAAATTAGTAAATATAATGCTTTCTGAGGCAGCCGGTTTCTCCCTGCCATGCATGACAAGTTTGTGGCTACAGGTAAGGTCGAGAATATAATAGAAGAATTTGAATTCACGAAGTTCTATAGATAGACTGATTACTGTAGCTAATGTATTTAATCACTTTGCATCGCATCGCCTGTCCGGAAAAACCTCAGCTACCCACGATTTATGCGAAAGACTCGGGATAAAGCTGCACTACAAATCTATTTGTGCTATCGAAGCACAAAAGGATTGCGATAAACTGCAGAAGGATACTGTAAGAAGCTCAGGCAGATTTGCTGACGAACTTAAACGACGTTAGAATCGGTCTTTGGTTGCGCTAGGCTACCTCGCGCGATTTCGTCAAATCGCTACATCCACGCGACTTGGCGGCTTGCCAGATGTTTACAAACCAACCCTACGTGGGTCTATGCGTAAATGCGTAGCTTCTGTTAATTATGGCAAAGCCAAAGCCTGACCCCTGTAAAGCGCGCTTACGACCAGTCATGAAGAGTCACTATAGTGACAGATCGCGCAGCTACTGGATTCGCATGAGGTATATATGTCTTACATAGGCCAAACGGGTTTAGGTATACTGTAGCAAGATTCTTTTTTCGTCGGACTTGTAAACATAATTTTTTTCTGAAATTGGTTGTGTACTGTGCTCACATAGAGATCCATCAATATCACGTGATTGACTGCTGTAGAAGAAGGATGAATTCCGGATATATAATCATTGGCAGTTGCTTGCACAGCTACGTCCAAGTTGTTGGTATGCCTTTCAAACATCTGAAAGAAAAATTCAAATTATCAAAATCAGTGTGATGAGATCTTTATTGGTTTCAAACTAAAGTTAAAGATCAAGAATGTATCAATTGAAGCGTTAAAGGTACGATACACTCAGATTAAGGGGTAATGTCATGTAATGGACGGGTCCCTACTAAGCCATAGCCCAAGTCACGCTACAAAAGATGAATTCCGAAGCGGGAAAATCGCTTCAGCAGGTAGAAGCCTAGTTGGCTCCGCCCATCAACGTATATATGATTTGAAGACAAAAAGTTCATAATCGAGCTTCAGTTAATATGAATGTCGAAAATTTGATAATTATAGTAAAAGCGGATTTATGGCAACTTTAGATGCATTGAAGTCGATTTCGGGCTATTTATTTTCACACCAACCACGCTGATAAGCGGAGCCAACGTGCAGCTTTCATTTTGAAGCGGTTTTCTCGCTTTGGAACAGTTTTTGCAGTCAGACATGGCGATAGCTTAATTAAGGGTCCCTCCAATGACATCAAAATCTCACTACCTTTAATTTGAGTAGACAGTGCCTTCATGGTCCAGTCGAGTAGATTTCCCGCTTAAATAGTGTGCTTGCACTGAAGGTGAAATGCGATAAAATTTGCACGTGAATAAGTAGCCACACCAGTAATGCCAACATTTTGCGCGCGCAAATGGTCGGCAACACAGGCGTAGCTATTCACCTTCAGTGCAAGCACACTATTTAAGCGGAAAATCTACTCGATTGTATCCAATATATTTTGACTTATAACACCAGCACACTAGGCTAATCGTGGAATTCCTTTCGCAAATATCGCTTGAAACTCTCAAATACGGACCTTTTTTTTTTCAAATTTCTAACACCATAACGTTTTGCAGGATCTCATGTATGCAGTTTATGTATAAAGACGGTAGTGTTACGACACTATCCAGTTTGTTGTTGCCGTAAATTTTAGTCTTTTGACTTTAGGAATACTCTCCCCCCAGTTTACATCACATTTTTTGAGTTCAATTTCTCTTTTTTAATTTTCGCTTTGTTGGCGCAGAGAAGCATTTGAGGCAAGACAAGACCATGAACAGCGGACTACGTTTTGGCCGAACCCTCTTGAAAAGACTCATCTTTACCAGTGCGCCATTAAAAGAAAGAACGCAGTAACACAAACGCAGAGTCTAGCCAACAACACAAATTGGGTAGGAACTGCTACCCGCTGACCAGATTTCTACAGCTGACAAAAATGGTGCTCAAAGAAGGCCAACGCAAAAGGAATCATATCAAATACTGTAGTATAGTAACACCGTTCCGACACTAATGCACAGGAACGCCAGTGATTTATCGTCAACAAAACAAATACTCTACCAATTTATGAAAATCAAAATTTTTCATCAGTAACTTTGAACTTGGGCATTTAAGAACGTTTAGTTTGCCATAGTGCCCAAAATAGCGAAGCATGTGGCCGTTTTGGAGGTAGCACCTAGGCGATATGGCTAGACCACGCGTACCTAGGCACCATTATACTACATACCGCCTTCACTTAGTTCGTGCTTAAAGGCACCGTTCACCCTAAGTTGAGGGTGTTGAGCTTTTCACACCATATAATAGTAGGGCCCCCTCAATCCAATGCCCAAGTCGCGGCGCAAAATGTCTCTTCGGGAGCGAGAAAATCGTTTCAGAATAGAGAAGATGCACGAGGACCTCCATCCATGCTCGCCCTCCCCCATCCATGTCCGCCCATTTGTGTGCACTCATCCAATCACCGTTCCGGGAAGCAGGCCTGTGGGTCCTCCGGAACGGAAATTGTCGAAGTTTTCGCGCATCCTCGACTTCATGTTCGGAATCAGGGACATGAGAAGGCCCTGAAACGACGAAAACGCGGAAGTCGAAAATCTGGGTGGACGGTGCTTTAAGCAACATAGGCAAATATGAATTCGTGATCAAACCCTCGAACAGCGCAGACTTGTTTTGATGAAAGATTTCGTTTGGCCCAGTAATTCGCTTGAAAAGCTTCACTCAATGCAGCGATTAGTTGAGAAGAAGCAATAAGATATCAGTTTCCGTGGAAGGAGCATGGTCAGCTGGTGTAGATAATAAAAAAAATAGTGTGACCAGCCATCCTAACAATACGACACATAAAAATCATCTGAGTTACATCGAAGGATTGTATAAGCATCAAGAAATCCTTCATAGATGCCAGATAATCAGTATCAAACAATAAGCCATTAATCACCCCATGTAAGCTATAAGCCGAAGTAAGCCACAAAAACCGTAAAATTGCAATGTAGTTGAACAATATAGAAAACACCTGAATCATCATTTTGAGACTCAACACAAACATGAATGAGAATGCCTTCTATAGTTTTTGTCTGATCAAAATTTTGCAATGCTTTTTGGAAGTCGAACTGTTCTTTGATAGCAATTTCAAAAGTAGTGGCTAAACCAGCGTGCACAGTGATAGAACAAAAAGTTAAAAGTGCTAAAGTTAAATATATGCTGGAAGCAGTTTTGCGACGAACGCGACAAATGATTTTTTCATGTCGAAGCGCTGATTCAAACACCTTGGGTAGTCTGTTAGGCTGGAACAGAATAAAGCAGGTTTCTTCAATTTCGATTTTGAAACACTGTAACTATTTACACGAGCGAATATTCTTTCCGTGTGCAATAAAAATAATTGCAATCAGCAATCCAAACCATCTTGCACTATTGCATTGTTGCAGCTTCACTGAGAAAAACCTTATAGTCCAAACTTCCTAGAAGTTATCTTGAAAAATCACTTTGAGAAATCACTTACTTTGGGATAAAGTAGAATAGCTTGAACTTGAGTATATTGAGTAGTCTATTGTCGGTTGTACATGGGCGTTATGTTCGAATTTTACGAAAAAATCTTTGCCAGCACATATTTCAAAAAATCCAAAGGTGCTCTTTTTTCAAATTCTAAGAGAGGGCAAGAAGTGGCCTTTTGAGATTTCTCGGAGCTGGAGGGAAAAAGGTTCCGATTTTCTAATTGTAGATGCACTATCTATTCTGCCGCACAGCAGGAAACTCTTATACCGCTTTGCGCTATTTTTATATAGAAGTATGACAGCGACAGTTCAATTTTGCTTGAAATTTGTGGACGCAAAAGACTTTAGAAGTCTCACTCAATATGCATTTTTCAACACAGCCCACTCTCTAACACTATGCATGTTTGCAGAATGTTCCATATTTTTGAGGTTCTTAGAGCAAAGATCTTCAGAAAAGGATACTTCAAGATTTGGTCTCTTAATTTCAAGGGCATCAATTTCCAACTTTTCTCAAGATAATGAGAAAGAATGCATAAGAAACTAAAAGGAAAGAGCTTTCAGAATATATGCAAAAATCGAAAAAAATTCTCTTTTCTGAACTATCATTGTCAAAAAAAACTGTGAAAAACCTGCATTAACTCTGTTACAACCTAATACCCTAATTTCACGCGTACAAGGCGCGGGGTGGTCCTAGCTTTCATCGAATAGCCCGAACACGGCAAAGGACTTCGCAACCAAAGGAACCCCATACCGTGCTGCGTTTTGCCTGACGAATCGTGCGGCATAAGGATCGCTTCTCAAAACACGTTGGGGCGGCTGAGCAGCTCGATGAAGGCTAGGACCACCCCGCGCCTTGTACGCGTGAAATTAGGGTACATTCTCTCCAGTACTTCGACAACGATTCTCTCGAAAGGCGCGACTACCTTTGTGAATTAAAGTATATTAACTAAAAAAGAAAATCACCTCTTGCAACTGATATATGGGAAAGTAAGTTGTTCTTCTGATTACTTCAGGGACAAAAACATTGCCTGCTCATACAGACCAACACGTTGATACCCTTCATTAGCTAGAAAGAACATTAGCTCAAAATAGATCGTTCGGAATAATATTGTAGTCCCAATGTTTGGACGAACAGTGTAGCACGATTTATGAACTTTTCAACAAGATAAGAAATGTAAATGTTATCCAAAATTGTATGGTGGATACATATTCTTTAATTTGAACAACACCATGCACTCTATCTGATTCAGGGATCATCAACATTAGAAATCCTGAATCCACAGGAGGGGATAAAGTATATGTGTTTCAGTATGTTTCGAATGAAAATTCTTGGTTTGAATCAATAATGCAGACATAGAAATAAACAGAATTCATAAGGTTGTATAAATTATTGAGGATATAAATATGCAAGAAAGCTCTTCCATGCCACTACATTCTATCATTGCAGGTTATCTGACTGTGCAAGGTAAGTTAAAATGTTCCTACAATGATATTTTTGACACTACTGATTGCAGAGACCAACAATGAAACTTCTCATCTTCTTTGCGCTTTTGGCATCAGTGTGCGCTTTAGAATTTGCTCAGAACCGTATTAGTCCGAACATGAAAACAATTTCAGTTCCTGAGGTTCGCCATTGTATATGCCAGCCACTACCACACTTATTTTATCGTTATAGTGTATCACGATGTGTTTGGATAGTAAAAAACCAAAGGACGAGTACATTTGGAGGATGCATTTAACAATTGTGAACGAATGGATCACCGATTGTGCACAAGAGTGCAAACCGGAGAATTGGAAGAAGAAGAGAATAGAATATGAAGAGCTATTGAAAGACTTGGGCGAGAAGAGAAGGCACAAGTTGCTCTAAAATTCCGAAGCATTCGTGAAGAAATAAATTGTTGCTTGATGTGTGTTTCACTGATTTAAATTGGCTTAAGCTAACAGCCGTGTCGTGTGTTTGCCTTTTAGGACAAAAAAAACAACTCAGAAATATTTATCATTAGAGGCGCTGTTCAGACAGCATGTGCGATTCTGAACTTTGAGTCTTTTGTTCCCATTCCCATGTGAAATAGCAAATTTACTAGATTGTAAAAAAGCACCAAAATCTTGAAATTGAAAAGGAGACGATACGACAACAAGCTTTGGCACTTTCCGCTCAGAATATAAGTACATGTAAGAGAGTAAATGGGAAGGAATGAGAAGAGATGGTCTCAGCGCGTCGAGAAATCAAAAAAGCTTTAGACATTAGTAACAAAATGATTCTTCGATCAAGAGAAATTTGCACACCGTCCTTAGTAGATAATTTGTACACAATTAGAATAAGCTTGTGATATTTTGAAAGGGCTACTGATTGAGAAAAAATGGGGCAACGCCATGCCTCTTCGAGCCGAGACATGTCTGCACCAATCCTCAATAGATATTTTACACACATTCAGAATAACCTTGTAATATACTATTACTTGGAACTAGGGCTGTTGAGTTCAGAAAAAATTAAATAAAGCCCATTTGTTTGAGAAAAAAACTGCATCCATCCTCGAAAACTGCAGAATATCAAACCCCATTCCTTGAAGAACTCGGAAGCAAAAAAGATTGTAAAAAGTGTAATGTTCCTGACATAGAAAATAGATTCCATTAATACTCCACCTGTTGCAAATTAGGTCCCAATTGTTCAATTTTCCTTTGATACCGGCCCAGTGCTGTTTGGCAGTGTGCCAACCGTTGTCGTTCCACTGCTTCTAGGCTTTCGACACCTTTTCGTAGAACACCTTCCGCTACCCTGAAAATTAGCGCAGATAAAATTCATACAAAAATTGAATAGTAAAAGCAAAACGAATACCTGCGCTGTTTTTCAAGATCTACCGTTTCCCATATATAACTTTCTTCTTGCTTTTTTACTTGTTCCTCAATCCGTCTCTTTTTGATGGTAGCCTAAAAATTCCAGTTGAATTTCTTGAAAAGAATCCTATTCCAGATTTTCATGGCAGAAAATTTCTATATAGTTGAGTACACTAAAGAGTGAATCAACATAAATAACTGTTTTTTTTGTTGCTAGAATTGATTTTTGTGCAATTGCACACATCCAACAAACTGCTAGAATATCACCGCACTCACCCTCTCACCAGCTTGTTGTTGATCATTTGCCTGTTCGAGTTTCTCCAGCTGTTTACTGCATTCATAGAGAAGCCGTTTTGTCCGAGTTGTCGCGTCTTTTCTCTCTTTCAGTTTTCTCGTTTCTCGTTCTACGAAAACTGCTGCCTAGTAACCAATGATTGTGACTGTCACGTCATATAAAATATAGGGTATTGCGAGAAAAATCGAAAATCGTAAAAATGATAGAAAATCTCACAGCTCTTATCGTTTTTGCTTCGCTCATCTGTATAGACCGAAGTGGTTGAATTACGTCATCGGTTAGCGCCGAGCCAAGATTGCTGTAATGGAAAGTGTGAGTAGTTTTTAGATTTAGGAAATTTCCTTTTCAATAACATTTCGGAAAATTCTCATGAATTGAAGGGGTTTCATTTTCTTCTAGTTTTGTAAATATAATTAGGCTCTGAGACTCGTGATGCTGTCTGATACAAAACCAATTGTGAAGTTTTTTATTTTCCAAGTTTTGCTTTTCTTCAAAATTCTTAACTCTACGTAGAGACCCTCATTGGGGCAAACTTTGTTTGAAATAAAAACGTCTAGCTTCTAATTGTCCCAAAATTCCATGCAACGTTACAAATCTTCTGGCTAATCAAATTGAAAAAACGGAGCTCGAGTAAATCACTTCTTTACCTTATCTTCAAGACTTATTCTCATTAAGGATGTTTACAGAGGGTACGTTTCTTCCAAATAAATTTTGAATTATGCGAATAGGATGTGATGTTAATAAGTTTTTGGGAAAAAGTGGAAGATCTTTTGTCGACCATGTAGATCGTCTCGATTTCTTGGGAATTTTGACGATTATGAAATCGTGCAATAGCCAAAAACCTTAATGTGTCACTGACACAGTTTTTTATTTTCTTTCCGATAATCATTTCTCCCAAAAAATCTTTTTCGAACTCTTCTCAACTTTTTACCCACTCCCCAACTGCTCGAAGTTACGCTATTTGGATTTTTGTTTTCAAATGCGGGGGGGGGGGGGGGTAATGGGTATTGAAAATTAAAAGAAATTTTGGATTGTGTTAGGCTGCTTCAATGTTTTCAGGTTTGCCTCCTGTAAGGCGACAAAATCATTTCTTTTGACTTCGATAATCATGCAACATAGAACCGCAGCAAAAACGTTTAAGCTTGCAATGCTTAAAGGCAGTGGATCAGCAGAATGGACCCTTCTCGAATTTGGTGGATTTAGGTAGTAGACCCCCCAAGTACACTGTAGCCCAAACCCCACCTACATCCATGCGCTACGTTCTGAAAAAGGGGCTTCAAAATTCCACCAGCCCCTGTGGGCGGGGCTGGGGAGTTTTGATGCGCATTTTTCAGGACGTAACGCATGAATTGGTAGGTTGGGGCTATAGTGTACTTGGGGGGTCTACTACCTAAATCCACCAAATTCGAGAAGGGTCCATTCTGCTGATCCACTGCCTTTAAGTGACTCAAAGCTGATTGCGAACCGATTACAATTTGATTTTCCTCAAGACCCAGCCTTTGAAATTTTTGGTACATCTTGCTCCATGTTAAAAAATGAGTATTTTTTGAATAGTATTATAAATGGACTGGTTTGATCTAGAACGATTAAACGTAGCATGTAAGTTTATTTCATATAATAACTGACGCTTTCAAAACACCAAGATAAAAGTCTTTGAAAATTGGAGATATTCGAAAGTTGTGAGGTTCCTGAAACTGAAACAAAACACCAAGATAAAAGTCTTTGAAAATTGGAGATATTCGAAAGTTGTGAGGTCCCTGAAACTATGTAGCTACCATGTTTATGCATAGCAAAATATAAAGAAGAATGCAAAAAAATTGTTCTATCACTTTTGACCCTATCTCCTCAGTGCTCTTCCAAAAGGTCTAAGATGAAAATTTTAAAAGATTGCTAAAGTCGGACCTGGCAAAAAGCATCGATTACAAAATTCGGGGACTCTCCTTATGACACAAAAGCTACCACAGAAACATTGAGGAGAAATAAACTCTGCCTCAGGGCAGTTATTGAAGCGTTTGATATCAAAATTCAATTTTTTTAATGGTAGGTCGAAAAATCTGCATGTAGTTCAAGATGAAATTTCATAACAGGATACTGAAATGAAAAAAATTAAAAAAAACACCGTTTCAGAAATGATACATTAGTCTCGCTCTTGCAATAAATTGTGATCACAAGGTATTGGTCATCGAAAAAGTAACAAACTTTAGGTACTTGATTGATTATGAGGCAGGAAACCAAATTCAAATATTTGTATTTCCGTATTACTGAGCCTAAGTGAAGAATTATTGGGAAAAAATCAAAAATTGCGCGCAAGACACTTGAGAAGGATGCTGAAAAGGATTCTTCCAACGAATTTTCCGGGATACTCAAATATTGCTTACATTAAGAAGGCAGATCAAGCAAATTTACTGTTTATGAAGTAAAAATGAGGAATCTCACTTAATGAGCATCCACCTTACCTATGGATAGTTGCTTGTACATCGAATTGTTCAGCTACGGACGTCCATCCTTTGTCAATATCACTGAAATACTTATTTGGGAAATACTTGAAAGACTGTTGTTCGAACAGAATTGCTCAATTCAGCTTTTCCATTGTTTCTTTACTTTCACCCAAGTGATTCGAAATTTCTGCCTAAGGAGTTCAAAGTACATTTATTCCAAAATTCTCGATGCGATTGTTTTGACTCACTTTTGGACAAGCTGCTCATTTTGCAGTGGATTTTATTACCACTTCTTTTTCATCAGCGCTGACGCAAATACTTTGCTGTGTAAAATCTTGACTTACCTCTCAACCAGATGGGTAGCTTTGTGCAAGTTGGCTGAGATCTTCTTCAGTGTTTTCGAATAGTGAAAGTCCAGAGCTGCTCTAAATCAATCGCTTACAATATACAATAAGGGAGAAAAGGAGAAAACAGAGAAAAGTTATTATTAAATTATGGTGAAATCTCATAGTATTTTGATTATTTTTTGTGCACATCGCTATTATATAGTTTGCATCTTTCAAAATGAAAATGTTTTTGGAATTGAAAAAGATAGACCAAGACATTTTGAAATATTGGTTTTCTTCATAAACTAAACCTATTAGATCTGTCATCAAAAGCCAGCTAAAAGGGAAAAGAAGTAATGAAACAAACTTTGATAAGGCGCATCGGAACTTCACTCACAATACAAATTTGAAAGGGATGTAAAGAGACGGATATGATGTAGGTACTACTCACTTCTCCTCGAAGGCAGCGATAACCTCGCGAAGCACTTCATTATTGTGTTGAACGAGCTGCCGAAGTTGATCGAAATTCGTTGGTGACTGAAAATTACTATGTGTGGAGAGAATATCATACAAAAGGTTTGATATTGAAATAAATACAATAAAAATCAGGTTTGAAATAGAGGAAAGGTCCTATTATTTGATGTTATTATAGGTGATTTATGGATGGCGTAATGTGATCATAATTTCTTGAGAGACGATGGAGGGACACTAGAGGAGAAGGGAGGAAGGGGGGGGGAGGGGTCATAAGCTGCAAAACTATGCAGATATTTTGTTTCATTCGTGAAAAATCAGAGCACTTTAGTCTTATAGATGAAATAAGCTTTTTCATAGCACTATTTCAAAAGTTTGCAAGTAAGTTTCACGAAAGCATCACACAAGCCTCTATATGAAAACAGTTCTTTTCACGCCCTTTTGTTTTCCCCATAAACAAATTATTTTACATCATCAAGTGCCACATATTCGCTCTAATTCTAGAGTTGCAAGTTTCTGATCAAAGTTCATTATTTGTCTATTCTCAAATTTGCTTTGAAATGCGCAGCAATATTTACTTATCCGGAGCAAATGCAAACAAAAACTGAAGAAGCTGGTGTAGACATCAGATTTGTTTACTGCGGAAGCTGAGACATTTCTACAACCAGCCATCGTTTCAAATTTCCTTTTGAGAGGATTGATAGTTCAAAGCATTCTTTTATACCTTCAAAAGTTACATACAAACATAAACTAGTACTGCTTTTCTAAGATTACTGTATTGGAAAATTTGACTTTAAATCTGAGAAACTGCTAAAAGTTTTGATAAAGAATAGGGTTTTTTTACGCAGGATTTTAGACTTTCCTTTATGATGATAAGGAATAACATGAGCGTATGTTACGATAACCCCTTTTTATGGATGCAAAAAAAGAGGTCAAAGCTTCTGTTTTGAGGTCCTACTCTGACGGGATATGATATTTGTCAAGAAAATGTCAAGATCACCTTGCGAAAGGTTTCAACTATTTCGCTTAAGGAAATCTTGATCCTGTAATATGAAGAACAACCATGAAAATAAGTAGAATTTTTGAGATGGATATATCGAGTAATTTCTGCGAAGTTCCACCAAAACCAGCGGAATCCAATGCTTCGCAAATTGGAACTGCCTATAAACTACGTAGCTAACACTTTTACAAAAAATGAAACTGCGATGCTCATTTTATTTCAGTCAATCGCAACGATCTGATCCCCTCAAGTTTGTTTGTTTATATGTCCAAACACTTGTCGGGGGTGCTATATCCTGCTTTCGTCTATGTGTGCAGTCAAGAGCAGCATGCAGATGGATAAACGTCAGTCTCCAAGTTTACAACATTTGTTTGTCATGCACTGCTCTTCAAAAAGCACCGTTTGTCCGAGGAAAATAATTCGTACGTGTCTGAGTGTAACTCGCAAACGTAGGTAAGTTTGCAGAAGTGCTGCAAAAGCAGTAAAAGAAACGAAAAAAAGGAAACAATTGCTGGGAAAGACTGACGAGGATGCGGTGAGTGATTAGCAAGGACACTAACGTAAAAAACGAGGTTGTAACAAAGACTACAGTTTCCTAATCTTCCTTTTTGTTTTTTTTCATATTTCAGCGGTCTGTATGATTTGGAAAATTGCCGAAATATGATGGACAAAAAGAGATTCCACAGTAAAACCAGATAAGAAAATTTTTTTCTATGTAGTTTACTCACAACATCTTCAAACTAGAATGCTGAGTCAACGTAAATCACAATGCCCTTAGTATTTTGAGGTTTAAAGCTACTAGTTTATGCGATGACGGTATAATGGGAGGGAGGGAGGTAGAGAAGAGGTGTATGCAGAAGTGAAAGATGCCCTGTAGGAAACTCTTAAGTTGCACTCATTCGGCTCTAAATTTTTAAGACTGAGAAAGATATTGATACAGTCTAAATTCAGTCCGAGACAGTTTTTACAAATGCTAACTATTAACTGATATCTGAAAAAATGTAACCCATGTGTGGTCACTATGTACTGGAAAAAACAAGATAAAAATGCTTGAAGTTAAAAAGATCTCAAGATCAAAAATGTACTAAGTTATTCCTGCATTTTGCTTTAAAACTCACAAAGTCCCTTACATATCTGAAGTATAAAATTAATGAAGTGCCATTTAGTGATTGCTTACTAGAAATAGTGTAATAAATAGTAACTACCTAATTTCACGCGTACAAGGCGTGGGAGGATTCCAAAATCGACCAGCCCAAATACGCCAAAGAACTTCGCAACCAAAGGACCCTATGCCTTGCTGTATATTGCTTAAGAGAATCGTACGGCATAAGGATCGCTTTCCGGAATAATTTAAAGCGGCTGAGGGGCTTAGTCGAGAAATCGAAGAAGGTGCGCCTTGTACGCGCGAAATTAGGGTAATACATTCATTTCGTCTTAATAAATATCTGACCCACAAGGTGCACTAAACCGCAACACTGCAATCATGTATGACTTTCGTTGAGGAATGGAAATGGTACGATAACGTCTTCGTAACAGCGCAGTGCCAAAAGAAAAAGAATAAGAATAAATCAAGTCAACCATCTTGATTGAATTTGGACTCTTTGGAGAGAAGAAATAAACTAAATTTGCGCAGATAGATGTTTTGAGCTGATAAAAGGAACAAATAAGCTAATATTTGTTGAGCATGTGTTAAATATTGCTTTTATGGAAGTTCGGGGAAGAAAGAGGGGGGGGGGTAGGAGAGCTGAAGGGGGTTTTGTGAAATTTCATGAAAATCTCCAATTTTCATTCACTCTTTGCCTTTCCAAATTCTCTTGGATATCATATCACGTGAAGTAGATCAACCTACTAACTTTTTCATAAAAATCTCAACAATGGTTTTCGGCCTAATCTAAACAAAGGTCGAATGAAGTTTCATCTTGCGCGCTAGTCGCTAATCATTCAAAATTTTCAATTTTGGAAATTGCCCCGTACCTAGCCCCGCTCCTCATATATCGTTTCGCTAGAATGCGTCAACACTAGCGGTATCGCTAGTCTTCCGGTACGATGAGTCAACACTGGTGAACATCAATGGAGAGTTTTTTGTGGCAGCTGGTACGAATCCATAACTGCGAAACCCATCAGAAAAGGCGTGATAAGAGGTGTTGCCATTTTCGGAGCGGCTACAGCAATTCTGCATATTGAAGAGCGAATTTTTAAGGTCTATAGTGAATTTTTTCGCTTAAAAAGTGAGAAACATGTCGGAATTTGCATTTTCAATGGAAAAAGCTCGTGATTTTATAAACAAAGATTGAATTTTCTCGAGTTTGTACTTTTGCGGCGACAGTAAAGATTTATTTGGTACTTGAAAGACTCAAATATCAGATTCTAAAATTCATTGAAATTTTGAGGAGGGAGGGTGGGGAGACAGAAATCTTTAGATGGAGAACGTTATCAAAAGCACAAAAATTTTTCGAAACGTTTCCATAAGGTTTGGCGGGAACTCTTAGCAAAATTGTAGCTCGGATTCAAGAATAAGGCCTGTGGCTAAGTGTTTTTCGAATTTTCATGGAATTTTGAGATTTTGAATCACTTGAAAATCACAGTTGCGTAGTTATGTAACTCAAGTAGACCGCATTCAAAATCTCCTTTCCTTCTATCCTCCTTCTACCATCTTTTCCTCGAACAAACATCTTTTGATCTCTATTGGATTTACTGAATTTCACGGAGATTACTCTAGGATTCTATTGATTGATCTTACAAAAATGAAATCACAAATCTTATTTAATACTTTTTTGCTAGTTCTTGGAGTAGAATTTCATAGAATTTTCTACAATCTTCAAATTTCACCGAAAAGAGTAATCACAAGTGATGAATTTCATTCTGATGTGTCCCAAACGATCACCTACGGAAATAAACAAAGTTACTCATAGAATCTTCCATTTTTCGGAGTTTGCAGTGACTTAGGTGAAACATCGTAAAATCCCAGAGAAAGATTGTTCCATTGTTGTGTAATATTTTCCACCAAAGCAATCACACATTCCACACTTTTTTCAACACTAAAATTTCGCTCCTTCTAGTGTCCTTATTATCAATGACTCGAAAAAGATTTCAATCACCACTGCTTTATCATTTCGTTCTTGGCGTCCAGAAGTGTTTTGCATCAAAATAAGTGGAACTTGGATTTCTCGGAAGATCTCCGAAAAAGAATTAAAAGTGATGGATGGGGTCAGTTGACGGCTAGAGATTTATCAGCACTCTCTTCGATGCAGATCTTTGTGGATGGGTTTTTGTAAAGATTTGGCGGAAATAAAAGATTAGTCAGCTTCCGGTTGTAAAACAATTTTTGCCCTTATGACTTATGTCCACTTAGATTTCATAAATTAATGAATTAAGTGGCTATGAATCAAATTTTAAAGAAGCAGTGATAAGAGCGAAACCGACAGGAAAAGTTGCGAAAGTTTAGAAAAAGTAACCAAAAATGATTGGAATGCTATTCATCAAAAATTTCTCCAGATATGATGGCACGTTATGAATTTTTCTTTGACAAATGTGTAACCACAGCAATATTACGACATATTTCAAAAAATCGAATACTGTCGAAAATTAAACCGAACTGTCAGTAACAATGGAGAAGAATAGAAAAGTAGTCGGATTTATGAGTCCATAAATTGCTCTCCATAAAGATCGTCTAAGCGAGTTTCGTAAGAACCTTTGCCCTTAGGAGGGCGCATTTTCGATTTCGGACACTGATTGGACATTCTCAATTTTTTATGAAAAACCTGATAGAGACGTTTGATTTCTCCCAATTTCGCATTTCCGGATTTGATGACCGGTTTGTTGCAAGAATGATAGTCCCATGTTCTACGAAAACATCGTCTTGTCCAAGCAACTTGGAGGTGCATAAAAATGTATGAAGAGACTTCTTCAATGAAATTTCAGCATAAAGTACGTTTTGAATGTAAAATAGGAAGATGAGAAAAGGAACAAAAATGAAAACTGTTTAATTGCACAACAGTGAAAATGAGAAAGCCGGTGGGGTATAATGGAAGTTTGAAGTCCGATAAAAATTCAGTTACTCATTTATTGATGATTTTTGCAGCATTTCCAAAATTTATCTTCATTTCTTTCATAAAAAAGTTTTTTGAGTTTTTTTCGAAATTTTTCAATGTTTTTAGAATAACAGTGTGAATTATTCCTACTCAGTAGCAGCTACGTAGTTACTTATTAATGACCCCTTTTTGGAAAGCTGCCAAAAGCGTAACCTCTGATTTTCTTACTGCAAACGGCTTTGCAAACATAATCCAGACTAGCGAGCTCAGCAGTGTTTATTTGTTTACAAGGTCGCTGTCAACAGGTCGTAAAAGTGTTTTCTACTAGTACGAGTAGTTGTTGACAGCATTTTTGTTATATTATGCAAAATGGGAGAGGAAGTTAAATTTTGAAGTTACGAGAATTTCGAATATTCTGATAGTCAGAAGAGTTCAACAGACTTGAGTAAAACAAAGTGATACATCTGCTGACTTTGAAAGTGTTGTATCCGGCGATACGAGAACATTGGACTCTGACATCACTGGCATCAAACTACGACTGTAAAACAGGAAATTCCAGATTTAAGCTGTGTTCGTCAATTCAACAGACTTGGGTAGAGCAAAGTACCACGTGGACTGTTGACCTCGAAACTGTTGTATCATCAGGAAGGGTGCCGGAATATTGGACTCTTACATGAGTTAAATTAAGGCTGTGAAACAGGAAATTCTAGATTCAAGCTGTTCACTCGTCATATCTTATAGCCATTAGGCGTTTCATACAAATTGATAATTTTAAAATATTTTCTTTTCTTTGTACGCCAAACAGAGTATTATTGTTATTCGCCAGCGTATGAGTGTGCGGTGAATGTATCACGAAGTCCATATAAAAAGAAAGCGAAAAAGAAAACGAAAGGGATGAGTAGCAAGATTGAGAACGTAGTTGCAAAGTCGTTCAAACTTGTACCAAAAAATATTAGAAATGTGCAGGTGGCCAAAAAATCAAAACAAATCAAGTTGTACTATGCATATATCTCAAAAATCAAGGCACCGCCATGAAATTTGAATAAAATTTCACTTAAAATTCTCATTTGTTGTCTTCGTGGCGATTTTTCTTGAATGATAATATCTCTATAAAAAAACGAAAATTAACAAAAATTAAAAAAGGTATCGATTGATTATCGATCGATGCTTGATCCAGTAAATTTTGATAGAAATTCTCTATTCGCAGTGCAGAAAATAAGTGGAAATATATACGAATAACAAATGAATATTAGAATGGCTGAATTCGAGTCTAGAACTTCCTGTTTCGGAGGCACAACTAATTATTTGCAGTGACAGAGAGAGCGTCTGATCTTTTCGTTTTGGATTCACGTGCAAAAAAGATCTTATCATCAATTTAAAAGGGAACTGCATGTAGATTTTGCCGAAGGAAATTTTCTATGTTTTGTGCGATTTTGCAGGATTTCTACAGAGTTGTGAGCTTCAAGTAGAAATAAAATCTAAATTACTAAAATATTCTAATAACATAATGGCTACTAAACCTACTGTGATTTCACAAGTACAAGTCACACTTTTTTTGATTTCTAAGCGAGCCTCTCAATCGTCTCGCTGTGTTTCGAAAACGATACTTATGCCGCACGATACTCTCAGGCAAAACGCAGCACTATATGGGGCCCTTGGGTCGCGAAATATTCTGGTGTGTTCAGGATGGACGAATTTAGGAAAAAACAGGCGCGTCCTGTACTCTTGAAATTGGGGTGATATAAAGATTGACTCCAAAATTTCCTGTTTCATAGTTCTAATTTAGTCGTTGTAATAGTCAGCTACCGTTGCTATTTGGATGACTCGGATCAAAAGGTTTGGTAATCAGTAAAATACCGGTATTGAGGTAGTTCAGCTGGCCCTTACATGAAATCTATCCTTGGTTACTCGTAAGATTCATTTATTCCCTGTATTTTTTATGAAATTTATCTCATCCAAAATTCTTGATGCCTAGCTTTCCAATTTTTTTCAAAGTATCAGCTCCGATTGACGAAAATTTTTCGCTCTTTGAGTGAAAACCATGAAGATTCCTAGAAATGTCACCCCAGTTTTTCACCAAAAAATTTTTCACCAGAACAAGTCATTGCTTCTGTCAAGCCGAAACCGGACTAAGTAAACGAACACAAGCAATGTGATTACGTTTCACCTATTGAACAACGACAACAGAGCGCTTCCAATGGAGGTGTGAAAGATAAACAAGGGGATGAGCACTTTAGAAAAATCCGAAAATACGGAAAATCAATAATTTTTGCAACGATTGGAACACCTGTCAATGGTGTCGGGCGAGGGTGATTTGGAGCTGGTAGTGAGAGAAGTCATTTTGCAAATAATGGGAGAGAGTGGTGAAAGGAAAAAAAGGAGAGAAGAGACAAGTGGGAATGAGGTAAAAGAGGTGAATATTGTGATCAAAATCAATCAATAAATCAATAATTTTGCAAAAAAACTCACAGCGAATTTATCCACTAATGTAGTAAAACTGCTAGTAGGTAGTTCAATAAGACCGTTTAGACTACCAGATCGCGACAGACTAAGCTGATGAACCGAGCGTGACAACGATCGTCGCAATCGCGACATGCGTGCGTTCATCTCACGAGCTGCCCCAGTGACGAGACGATGCGATAGAAGTCGTCGTAAAATCTGCTGCACCAGTCGTGGTGGGCGGAGCCGCCGCTTTGTCGCCGCCGCTGATCGCCGATCGCCGTCGTCGCCGCTGCCGCGTCCGCGTTCGCGTAACGGAAAAGGCGTCGCGTCGTCAACGTCGTCGTTGTCGCCGCTTCGGTGGTGATGATGGTGGTGCTGCGGCGGCGTCTTTGAAGTGCCTGAATTTGGTAGTGCTGACTGACACACGCGACGCACACGCACACGCATACGAATTGAGTCCGAGATCGTCACTTTCACCAAACTGAAGGCATCACAGTACATTTCCAAAAGTATCAGGCGAAGCAATGAGTGGGGCCAAGACCGTGTGAAAAAATGTGCTTCAGTTAATAAAGGTGGCGATTATGTTTTTTCAAAGTAGGCAACAACGACCGCGAGATAATGAAATCAACATAAATGATTGTGTGCAATTGCAGAAAATTACAAAAATTTTAAAGGATCGATGAGAAAAATGGTGTTTGAAAATCATTTTTTTTTCTTCTGAGAAGATGCTGGATAAAGCATTGATTATGGCGATGAATTCTTTGAAAGAAGAGCAGACAGACGAAAACCAAAGAAGAAAAATTTGTGTGTAATTGTAATTGTGAAAAAATTGTTAAGGATAAGCTGCTGAGCATTGATTAGTTTATTGATAATTTTTCGAAAAAAAATTGAAGCAAAAGAATATATTCTGGCAGCATGATGGTTTTCTGCGATTGCAGAATATGGCAAACGAGAAGAAATTATTTGCAAAAACATTATTGAATTTCTCTTTTTTTCTGCACAGATCTGATTGTAAAATATGAAGCTGAACCATTAGTCAGTTTTCGCAAAAAAAAATTGATTTACTTATTTGAATTTTTTTTGTTGAAAATTACTTCGTAAAAGATGTGCCACCTCATAAAGTGAGACCAAACGGATTGTGAAGGTCAAGGCAAAGGTGGAAGGAGGAGGGGCGGAAGGAAGACGTTTTGTTTATTAAGTTATCGATTTATTTATTCAACTATCCACCGAACGGGAACTTACCGAACTAAATAGATTAGGAACTTCGAAACTAGACATTTTTGAACAAAGACGTAGAAAATTTCAGTCTCGATCAATATTTTGCTTCTTTCCTTGTTTCTTAATTATATAAATCACGAAACTTCCTGTTTCATGTCTCAGCGATCGGTAAATCGCTTTTTTGACATGAAGGAAGTTAACAGTGAAAAGATCCAACCACGACATGAAAAATCATGATTGAATATCTATGCAAACAGTTGAAACAGCAAGTTTTCAAAAGAGCAAAAATTGCAGCCACTTGGTGTTGAATGTGTATAAAATAGAAACCGGTTAGGTCGTGTTCCAACCTCGTCATCCGGGTTGCAAAAATCTTTTTTGAACCCTAATCAATCATACATTTTCAGTGCCCCATACAAATCCGCTTGACCGCCACCTCTCCCGGCCACCAATCCCAACAAATCCAAATTGGTTACGATTATTGGAGGGAAAAAACGGAACTACTGGACAGCTGTTCGATGCTTGCACTCCTTTGTGTTCGCGAACGAGTTCGAGTCGAGCACAATACGCGTATAGGACGAGTTATACAAGAAATGAGGACGAGTTTTTTCGGGTAATATCACATCTAATGGTAAAACGTATGATAAGATTGCTTGTGTAGACTAAGACTAGTATCAAATCGTATAGGTGAGGTAATAGTGTGTAAAGTGCAGGAATATGGTGGCTGAAGTGTTTACAACGCGAAAAAAACGTAGCTCATAGTCCATTCTATAGAATAGAAAAGATGATAAACGGAATGCCATGTTTTTCAATGAAAATAAGTTTTTGCTGATTTTGCAGAATTTTTGTGCAATAGTTCAGTTGGAATAGATGAAGTCTCGCAGGAGCGTGGCCTTTGGGACCCATAAGGAGTCGTACTACATGAGGGCGAACAACTACAAAAAAACGGAAAAAAACCCAGTGCAAAACTGCCAAAGGCCACACCTTTTTTGTTAGACGGTGAGGAAGCACTTTTATCTGCTAGTACAAAATCAACACCCCTGTACCAAGTGCCACGCCCATAATTTTCATGTCATCTTGCCTTCTTACGGGCAGTTCATATAACCTAATTCATCACACGTACATCCACGCAAATTATCTTTGCTTCATTCTTCGATACTAATTGTAAGTAGGTGAAACCCCTTTCTCTTTCGGTGCACCGAGTGCCACGCCTACTCGTTCGACTATTTTGCCCATCTAATGTTGATAGCTACTTTTGGATGGGAAATTGCAATTTGACTATGATTTTTTACTTCATTATAGAATATAATATCAAACAAACAGTATCCATCTTGCATATAATGTGCTGCGTGCTAGGCCCACCTTGAATGCTCCTCATTTTGAGTAACAATTCACATAGCTCCTATTTTTGGAAAGCACGGGCGGTGGGGGGAGGGGCTTCCAGCTGCACATGAATGAAGCAAGATTTTCATTTTCTTCCTCAAGTTTATCAAGTAATTGATTGTTTATGATCCCACTGTATCAAGTGTCACGCCCATAATTTTGCTCAGTTTTCTCTTACTTGCAAGCAGCTTTCAGTTTGATATTTGTGTCTATGCTTCGTATACATGTGTCATGTTCCTGCAAAAATTTTTTTCTAATCTCCCTTCATTGATTAATTCAGGTGATGCTTCTAACTTTATCGCTTTCACGGTGAAAAGTTCATCGTATTACTCTCCCATTTCACCCAAAAATTTTTTAGATAGCTTCTAAATCTGAATGCGAGATTGTTCTTACACTAAACTTTTTTTACTAAATACAATTTTTTACTCAGTAATAAACAGTCAATTTCTCTTATTTTTTTACTGTGCCAAATACCACGCTCACTTTAGTTTCTCGCCATTTTGATTCAATGGTGACTTGATTCCGTTGTTCAATTTTATTATGTTCTTCTCCGCCCCCTATATAATTTTTTGTTGTTTGATAAATCGCTATTTAGCGAACAATTTCATCCCAAGGATTTATGGTAGATTGGACATTTGTTATACCACAGGCTTCGCATATGTGATTCGTCATAAATCTCACAAAGCGTCCGAGTTACCTTTACAGCGAATTTCTTGCACAATAATAAAAATCTTTGCATACGCAGTAAAGCATATGGCGGTATTCTATTTCAGTTACTTTTGAGTTGTGCAGCTGGAGATTTGTTCAGTGGAATTTTTGGAATTCTCCCCCCCCCCCCCTTCCCGTCTTCTCTACTCAGTTTGCGATTAGAATCAAAGCAGGAGGGGGCACCACCAAAGCAATTTGGTTTATAAAATCTCCGATAAACAACAAGATATGGGGTGAAAATCAGGCAAAAACAACAGATGTTGAGGACAACAATCGTAGGAAATGGATGAGAGGAGGATGGGGGGGGGGAGGAGGAAGCAAGTGAATGTGGTGGAATGTGCTTCCCACTCCATTTCTCTGTTACACTAAAATTTACTGGTACCAGAAATTTTACCGCCTCGTCGCTTTTGTCTTCGCCGCAAATTGACCTGCGCTCGAACGAAAAAAGCGCTATAAACCTAAGTTGGTGTTTTTTCTCTGACGCAAAACTAATTCACGAGCCGGTAGACGATTTCGCAAAGTGGGGCTATCGCGAAACCAGCTCCGTACCAGGTTAGTAACGCTATTACTCAACGAAATTGCGGAGTTTCGAGTACATCTAACAATAAGGAACAAAAGGGAGCAGTCCACTTCTGAGGATGCGTAACGCATCTCCATCCCATTCTAGCAATTAGAATCGTAAAGGCGCACTTGAACGGCGCAGTGTGGGCCACTATTAATGCAGTTAGGCCGGAGGAGGATGCAATAGGGGAGAAGGCGGCTGGGGGGGGGGGGGGGGGAATGGCGCATTTTTTTCCTGATTTCAAATGTGTACGGTATGGTTGGGCTTAGTCTTGATCATCTTCCTCCCATTCCTTTCCATCTCTTTTCTTCCTCAGCATAGTGATTACATTATAGGGGAAAAAATCAAAAAAGAACGCAAAACCAAAACAGCTTTATAACTGTGACGTACCCATGATTTCGGGGGGGGGGGGGGAATCTTTTTTTATAAAGGTGCGTGGCGTTAACGACGCACCCAGAAAATTTTTCTGGTGTGTTTCTCAAAATTTTCGCGGGCCCATACCACAATATTTTAGAAAAAAGGAGCGTGATGTCAACCCCCCCCCCGAAAAACATTTTTCATAAGGCTGAATTGGACTTTTGAAAAATTCAAAAATTATTTTAATTACTTGCAAGTATAGATAAGTCATTTGCCCATTTTCATAAATCATGTAAGTAACTTTCAAAATTTTTGCGACCCATTCTTGGAGGGAAGGGCGTTCCCCCCCGGTACGTCACTGCTTTATAATGATGTATTATATGCTAGAAATAATGCAAAATCTCATTAAAAAGAAGTTTAGAAGCAAGGATAAGCGCAAAGAGACAAGGAGTTGATTTGAAAATGGATGCATGACTTATTCCGCTGAGAATTCATACAACCGTTTCACGTTAAATTGCATTCTTTCGCTCAAGAATATATGAAGTGGGAGAAGAAATGGGGGGGGGGGGGGGGAGAAAACTTAGCATTGTAATTAAGTCAGTCAAGAATTTACGATGTTAATTTTTTTCATTGACGCTTTTGCAAAAGTGCAAGGAAACTTTCTTATCGTTGTGTGTGACACTTTTGACATTAGTAACAAGAATGTCTTGTTCCTTTGGGTTGTAAACTTTCGCACTTATGTAAGTTTTAACAAAACGTAGTATTAGTAATACTAACATGTATTAAATTTATGACCATTGGTGACATAAATTTGTCCACGTAAGTGAAGACACACGTAAAGGATTGTGTAAAAGTATCAGAATAGGGGGGGGGGGCGAGAAGGGAACACCAGGGCACAGCATAGGTGGCTTATAAGCAAGCTGGATATCGTTTTTGGGGCTAAAAGCAAAGGGGATATCGTTTTTGTGGGTCCGAAAAATACAAGTTAGGTTGAGTTGTGTCTTTTTAGTTGACGTTTCGTTTTTTAGTCAAATCAGATTCGGACAAGGAAAGGAGACTTCATAAAAGTGAGCGAAAGTCAGGAGGACTTCGTTCTTTGCATCTTCGGAAAGCCACCTCGTGTGCCGAGCCCTGGGAGTCTTTGTTGTCCTACCGACATGACCGCTGGATTTCG